CTTTCCGATAGATCACCTTTTCCGGCGAATTGGTTTATTTTATCCATGGCGGACATCCGGACGTCCCTTAGATTTCTGGACTCAGAAATTACATTCTATCACTCTTTATTGTATTCCAGAGGATGTGTTCGACATCTCTTCGTCCACAACATCGGAAGATACTGCTGATTTGCACGATGAGGATCTAAACGAAAGTTTCCATGGCAGAACCGGTGCTCCGGTGTACAATCGGCACCGAGATAATCAGAGCAACGGCACAGATAACAGAAACGTTCCGCATCAGCATTACCAGCGTCAGCAGCGGTATAACAACAGTAATTCTGCACAAGGGGCTTACTACAATAATCGGAAGCATGAAAGTTTCGTCAATTACCAAAAGAGCCTAGGGCGCTCGAAGTCATCGGACGGAGCAGGTGAGTTAGCGGGCAAAGATTTTAGAAAGCGGTACATCTCTGATGAGGCTTCCGATTTCTTTTCTTCAATAGAAATCATCCACTGTGAATGCCCTCGGCAATCTTTCATCTGACGAGCTTCTTTTCCTCGCGAATCATAGAGCCTCAGGCGAAATGGCGATGTTCCCAATAAGCTCTCCCTCGGCGCTCGGTTCTTCGGCACCCCGAGTTCCTCAGTTCGCTGCCGTGAGAATCACTCACCTTTCTCTGTTCGGCGAATGGTCACGTCGACTCCAAATCGTACAGTCCTGGAATATGTCACGAATGCTAGATTCCGCATTGTAGGTACAGTTCATGCTAACATGCGAGTCCTCTAGGCTGCACATCGGGACTTGAGGGTAAAAAGCGGAGCAAAACCGTCAGAAAACGCTAGCCAGATGCCGCGTTTTCGAGGGGGAGCGCCAGTTCAAAATATCTGAATCATTGCCTCGATATTGGCCACTGGCGAGCGACATGCCATCAACCCGCCGATCTGGGCCCCGAAAGGCAGATATCCCTCCGAAGTCTTTGCTGAGTTTTGTCTATAAGAAAATTATCTAATAGATTATGCAGATGATTCCCAATGCTGAGTTTGTGATTCATGAGCCATTTCAAGGCGGAAAATTCCACGGCTGATTAAGTAAATGCATTGAAATAAGCGAATAGTGCTCCCTCGTCCCATTTCCCGCAGCTCCGGAGAAAGTCCCGGACTAGAGCTGCGGAACGATTGCCCATCTTCCGGGAACTCTGACCCGAGTCGAGGTACCCCCGTGGAGGTATCCGAGGCTCTGCCCTTCGCGGAGCTGCGGCACCGCGCGGATCCCAAAGTAGAGGGCTCTTGAAGATTTGGAGGGAGGCATCCTCCACACGATTATTCCGAAAATACAAAATCTCCGCCGTTTCAATCAGATTCCGAAATACATGCATATAATATCCAGCTAGGTACGACCAAGGAGAGACCAATTTTCCGCTACTATCATGCTGCACTGATTCCGGGGTCAATTATTTGAACGCGCCCGCTTCCCTAGACCGCTTTTCGTCAAGGTGTCCGCTGTACAACCGCCCGTTCCTGGCATAGACCATAGACCATTCCGCGAGTTAAAAAGATCGAGGAATCCCTCCGCTATCTTTATGGGCTGCGTATTAATTTGCACATCGGACAGTGCCAGGATCTTCGTCAATCTGGTAAACCCAACTGGAACGCGCCGGGTGTTATTCCGAGCATTTCCCCATATTCGACCACGCGATAGCCACGTTCTCCAATGAATATCCCGACGCTCCGATCGGGAACTTCTATCCACGATGGCAGGGATCGGTCTAGTTTTGAGATCAAATAACTATCATCCGCGGTGTAGATCATCGAGCATTCCTTTTTGGCAGCCGATCCTTTCGACACGTCGTCCTTACCTCGAACGACTCCCAGGAAATCGAATTGAGCTTTTCAAAGGAATGAAAAAACCGTAGGGAATTCAGACGAAAGTGAAATAGAAAAGGGAGCTCCCCCCCTTCGTCAGACGATGTCGGCGTGTTTTCCTTCACAACGTCTCAGTAGATAAAAGATTGTGGACAGAAGACAATGGGAATCGTAAGCACGATATATCGTATTTTGCGGAACTCGATCACGGAACCCGAAATTTTCCCACGCACCACACCCTATACTCACAGCCGATACTTTTCGCGTCGATCGCATGTCTCCCGTTCGCATCGATCGCTGAACCGGAGCTCGGAAATTTGCCTTCGAAAGCTCTTCTTATCCCATTCCGGGGGGTTTATCGACGCGACATCTCACGGAGAACAACGTCAGGAGCCTCGATCGAATAAAGTCACTCTAAATGGACAGTGTTCTGACCAGCGATGCGAATTATATCATTCATCACGATGTCTGAAAGATCAGTTCCTCCTTTCGGGGAATGATCTTGCCATTCGCGTGAGCGGTTCCCGGAGCCGAAAGCTCGCGCTGTTTGCGCTCGCGTGAGAATCTCGTCGAGACGGAAAGGAAGAATACCCCGCGCAGGAGACCACTGCAGCAACGAAACTTTTATTTTCACACGTGTAACAAGATTTTTTTGTGGGTCGAATATTATCGATTCGAAACCCTCCTTCGCTTACAGCCGGCGAATACGTCCCATTCAGAGGCCGATTGGGATCCCTTCAATGTCGGATTCTGGCCGCAGTGTGCCGAAAAAAAGGCGTTCCCAAATAATCGGATGGAGCCCACAGTAAAGCTGAGGGCCGCGGTCGGAGTCGCCCCGAAAAGGAAGACCTTCGTCCCGTTACAGCTTTCGCTAACTTCTGACGCTCGTTTTTTCAGATGCCCAAGCCCATCACCGCACAAACGGATTCCCGTCAATTCCAGCCACGGGCGTGTACGTCAACGGTTAGTATTTCAGCCGTATCAGGCTTCTGTGGTTCTCAGCTTCTCCCATGATTGAGTATGACTCCCGAGTGAACATCTCAATCCATAGTCGACAGCAAACGGACCCCCTCTCTCAAATTTCTTCGCTTCGATGTACCATCGTCAGTCGTAAGTCAGAGAAGGTTATGTCATCGCGACTGACAGTGACGCGCTGATTCGGACTTTTCAACAACTCCGTGAAATAAAGATACCACTGGTCGATGTATCTTTCAATGAAAAGAGAAAGAGAGGGACAGACAGACAGACATCTAAGGGGCGGACGAGGAGCTGCTTGTGCTTCTCGGCAGTCTTCGGCCCAATCTGAGGGAGCAATTGAAATTTCAAGAAGGAAGCCTAATTGGTTAAGCTTCGCGCTTCGACTCAATCACTGCTGAATAGTGCTCACGCTTCCAAATCACTGACACTCATTACAGTAATCGTGATGCTCCTGGAGCTGAAAATGCGGATCAAAATTAACTTTTTCGCGGGAGTCATAGGAGACGAAAGTCGGACACGGCTCGTGAGATATTCCTGGCAGGTAGGCATCCGGAATATCATCGAGTCCACGTCTTCGATTTTTCTCCCTGACGCATGTCAGACAGTCATAATTCGACTTTAATAGAAAAAAAAAAAGAAAAAGTTTTCTTATCGCGGTCCGATCTGGATTGCGAATAGACGATGTAAGGATGCACGAACGGACAGGCAGACCGACCAACGAGCGCTGGACTGAAGCATCGAAAGCTCATTGGACAGTTGACTGGCGGGACTGACTTGTCCGGCAAGCTAGCCTGGGGACGCGGACAAGTGTCTTTCGGAGAAAAAATGGTGCGGCATTTGTTGATTCGGTAGCGAAGTTCATTGACCAAACGGCCGCTTCCGAAACACTGCAAGTGTCGAAGTCGGGCGCGGCGATCATAACTTTCTCCCAGTTCTGGGTCGCGTATCTTGATATTGCGTCTTCCCCTCGCGTCTTCGTCGGCAGATCACCGCGAGGCGGACACGATCCGGCTTCTTGGCGATGACCAAGCCGGTAACTCAGGTACTTTGCATTAAATAACGCATTATCGCATTGGATCATCGGCCGGGCACGGGTTCCGCTGCGATGCGCGCGATATAAAACGGACCAAGGATGCGTCGCCGTTACGCGCAGACAAATGTCCCGCCACTTCAAGAAGCCTTCAATGACGAAGATACAGCAACAAGACCGAAAACCTGCGGCGAGAACTGAAAACAGTATCAAAATTACGCCTTATCGTAACAACGTGTTATCGACCTCATTGAAGCGAACGGAAGTCGGGACGCGCCCGTCTTGGGTCGGCTCCCCCGCCGGCTTCCCCGCCGGCTCGCCGCTACTTTCGTGGTGGGAAACGCTCAGAAACGAGAAATATATGGATTACGTTCGGGGCGCCGTGAACCACTGGGGGAATCGCCGCTCCTTCGCCGTGAACCTCAGCCAGATCGACAACACTGGATCTCCTTAACCCTGAATTTGCGTTTTCCACGTTCCCATCGCCCTCTTTGGCGGATCGTTACGCTTTAACTTCACGCCGTTGAACTGTTGAACGGTTTCGCTTCGTTCTTCGATAGAACTTACACGAAATCGCGAAACCCTCGTCGATCGGTTTGCGGCGAGCTGATGGTGGTCGACAAGGAACAATGTGTCTTCCGTCTGAGACGGCATCAGAAAACTCATCCTGTTTGGACTTAATCAGGTATCTTAGGAAGTATACGTAATGCTCCGAAAATCGACGGATCAAGACTTACCGAGGGCCTATCGTGCCTCTTAATTATTAAAGAACTAGCGAACAGAAGGAAGAGAACATCCGAAGTCGCACACTGTAGACGAGGGGATTCGTTCCGCGAAAATTCGTTCCCCGGAAGTGTCGTATTGTATAACAGTATAATCCCTCTGGTGGTTTTCTCGGTCCGCTCGACCGATTCCGTATAATGCGCTGATCCGTTTAGTTCAATCAGCGGGAACGGAGTCTCTATGATTCTGCAAACTGAGGATTCCTTTTCCAATTACCGGGATGACGGCTGAAGGCATTCCGTTGAATATCTTCACGGTTTGTTTAACGGCTTCGTGCCGGAGTAGAAGAGAAACAATGTCTACGTTCGAATGCTGATCGATTCGTGGATCGAGGAAGATATGGAAGACTGCCAGTGTATCGTTGTATGGGAGCGCTCCTTTATTCGAACAATGTACAGATGATCGATGATTGATTTTGAATAATAAATTACATGAATTCGATAACTACTTGATCATGGCAGTTCAGATGAGCTTCGGTCGTGAGACGCCTTTGTTTGGGATTCTCAGAGCCCCGAAACCTAGAGATCCCTAGACTAAATAATACCTCTATTCGCCATGTCGCAGAATTTCTCGACATAGGCGGCGATCGTGGCCAGCATGTGCCCGCTCACGGGAGCTGGCATGATCGATGCGTCGATGACTGAGAGATTCTCCACGCCGATCAGGTTGAAGTTCGAGTCCACAACAGCCAGGGGGTCGCTCGGGTGACCCAGGCGCGCTGTACCGGCGAGATGCCACGCGGTTTTCAAGAATCTCTTGACCGCACACCGGGCGTACTCGAACGAATCGTCGGGGCCCGTGCAGCCCTCTTGTCGCACGTCCATCCATTGGCCGCCGAATGGACCGAACGCGGTGAGACCGATCTTCCTAACGGTCAGGTAGAGCTCAGCGGCCATCTGGACGTCACGTTCGTTGTCCAGAACGTCGAGGAAAATCCTCGGATTAGACTCGATCATGAGGTCGCGCAGCTTGATGCGACCCCGCGTCACCGGATGCAGGAGCGTCGGCGTCATGAGGATTCCGTCTTTCTGGACGACGGTGTTACCTCCACCCTGTCTGTAGTAATACTTCTCAAGATCCGGTGTTCCGATTCCAGCCGCACGTAGCGTTGCTCCGCCGATCGGATGATTGACACTGACCGTGTGCAGGAAAATCTCAAAATCTGGTTGGCACGTTTCCTGGCTGAGACAAGTACTGTATGAAATGTTCCTGCTCTTGAAGAAGCCTAGCGAGTTGACTCCGTAGCTGTTGCGAATCGCCCCCGTAGAAGACAAGAAGAACTGCAAGAGTTCCGTGGGCGCGACGTCCGCGTAGCCTTTTCCCCTCGGGAACATGACCGACGACGTTCCCAGGTCGTAATGATCGTGCAGATTGCGTCCGACCCCCTCGCGGTTGAGCACGACCGGAATCTGCCATTTGTTCAGTTCATCCATCGGTCCAATGCCGCTGAGCATGAGAATCTGAGGTGTTCGGACAGCACCCGCCGCGAGCACAACTTTCTTCCGCGCGAAAAAATATTTCCGTTGGCCGTCGTTCATCTTCACGATGACACCTCTGGCCGCGAGACCTCCGTCGAATTTGCGTACGATTCCGATTCTCTCCACCATGGACTCGAGAATGATGTGGAGTCTGCCTCGTCGCTCTTGATCTTTTGAAATGCCCTCGATCAGTGCGCGCACAGGTGAGCTGAGGTATCCCGAGTGCTTTTCCACGAGCTGGAGCGCCGAGCCGAAGCCCAGCCACTCTTCGTTGTGGTCTCTGACGACGCGAGTTCCGGTCACGTACGTCGCTGCCTTGAGAAAAGCGTGCTTGTATTTCGTGTAGTACTTGGGGGTTTCTGAGTAGTCGACCAGGAACTCCCCTCTGTCTCCGTAGAGCGGCAAACCTCGCGTGTCGCCCTGACCCCGAGTGTGGCGTTTGACGTAATGGGTTAAGGTGTCGTGGTCGAAGCCCTGGATGCCGAACGTGCTCGCCCACTCGGCGAAATCGGCTTTCCTTCCCAAGGAATAAATGAGTGCGCCCAGAATCGATGAACCGCCGAGAGTTTTACCGCTATTGTAGGTTATGCCTCCCGAGAGCCACTGCAGCGGAATCGACGAAGGTTCGGCCTTGTATTCGAAGTCGTGAGAAGCTTCGCCCTGATTCAATGAGTTCAAAAGCGGGACTCTCGTGGCGATGTTTGGCAGCGCTCCTGGTCCATGCACCAGGAGGACGGTGTGGTGTCGCGAGAGACGGTTGGCCGCTAGACAGCCCGATATACCGCCTCCGACGATGACGTAATCGTAGGACGCACGTAAGTGTCTATAGTCCGTTTCGATGTGTTCTCGGCGCACGTTATAATCACGAAGTTCCGGTCGGATGAAGCACACGGCGAAGAACGCCACATGTAACAGAGGCAGATGGAACTGGGCCATCCCACCCAGACCGAAACGGTACACGAGCTCAGTAATTCCATTCACAGCGTAGAAGAGGAGTTTATCCAATGGGTAGAGTAGCAGTTGGAGCGACATGGTGGCGGAGTACCACTGTCGGCTTGTGCAGGAGATTTATCCTCCTCCGAGGGGTGGGGGAGTGGACGATAGAAAACAGAAAATTTCGAACACAGAACACTAGCTTCGGTCCTCCTCCATGTGCGCACCTCCTCGAGTCGCACACCGCAGGTCCCGTCGTTCGCAGTCACCGCGAAGCACGGTACGAAGATAAGAAGAGAGCTGCTTGACCACACAGGGGGCTAACTGGTTCGGATTTGGTTGTTTTCGTCTCGATTTTACGCTAACGGTCCGATGCCCTCACCACCGGCGATCCAAAAGCCCCCGGTGCCACTTTCCCTCGAACGAAACCAAGACAAGAGAGCAGAACCACTCCTCTTGGTGCCGCCGCGGCAGCTACCGAAACCGCTGCCACCGCCGCTAAGGCGACTACAATGACCGTAACATCGATCGCAGTTGTGCCGATCGACGTTAAAAATCAAGTAGTACCATCCGAACGCCATCCGTTGGTCCCTTCGCCCGGTCGATCCATTCGATGGACCGATGTCGTAGCCGGCCGCTCGCATCGGCGACGTTTTCCCTTTTGCCCGAACGGAAATGCACCGTTTTCGCGGTCGCGCGGGGCTAACGAACGAATCGAACGCTCCTGTCTTGGGCATTCAATGAAAGCGGCATAAGTGCATGATTAAGACGCGGCGAGTGTCGACCCGCTAGCAAAGCCGCCGCAGATTGCTTGTCGACGCTGCCGGTCCTTCTTGAGGAATTCCTCCGATCACATACTTTATGGCAGAAGCTTTCGCTGGACGGATCAATGTTGTGATGTCGCAGCGAAGATTCGGAAGTTCAGGCTAAGATAGCGCGCGACTGATTTTAAGGCTTTCCGGAGGATGAACCGCTATGAGCGAACCCTCGGTTCCGTTACTCCACGTCCCCGAAGTTGGCATCGAGCCAGGTACTTCGGGCACCGTTATGTGTATTCCCATCACAGACTTGTCATTATCGTCCTCAGGGGGACACGCGCCTCAGGTAGGCCGTCGATCATCTCCGCTCGAGTCGCCGGTCGGCCGGCCGGCCGTGCCGGATTCATTCCGAATAATGAATAGACGACTATTAAACGAGGAGGAACCTTTGGATCGAATACCATTCGAGAAATTCACCGCTTTCAATTCGGCGGTCGCCACCGCGCCAGATTAGTATCGGTCGAGTTTTAGCTTTCCGCGGACAGACGGACGAGCGGGACGACCGACAGACGGCTAGCCAGCCGGAAACAACAATGAGCGAAAACCTCTCAACCACACTGAGGATTGCATCATAGTAATGAACACGGCAGCGCATCGCTCGTTGCACGCCTTGCGAAGCATCTGAATAGCAACATTGGCGGCAGCAGCAGCGGAATCAAGCACCCACCCAACCGACCGACCCACCGCTCGTCGACGGTAGCACTCGCGAAGAAGCCGCTGACGAGCGAAATTTTCTGGGCAGACCAGACTCGTTCGCCGAACTTCGCGAAGTGTTTATTTTCTTTCTGCGCAGATCCGTTCCGCGTAGAGATTGAGGTGCGTGAATCGGAGTCGATGGTGTCAATATTAGGAGTCTCATTTGGATCTCATCGGAGCCTGGTCGCGGATCTCTTCAAAGTACCCGTTGATCCTAATTGTTGTGTCAGCTCCGGTCCGCATAGGCCGCTTCAGCGTGGGCTCTGATGAAACGAATCGAGCTTCGATCAATGTTGAATTCGTCCTAGTCTCATACCTACCTAAATCGATCCGTAATGATTATTATCAAGGGGTTCTCCCGGAGCGAAACTTCGTGGTCGGATCAAAACTCCATGAGCGCTTTCATAAGAATCACAACCCTACACAACCGGGTTCGAAGCCGAGCAGCTCGTCTATCTCCCATCATATTGAACGAATTAGAGATTTGCTCCCTCGATCTGAATCTCGGAAGCTCTCCAGCGTCGCTTCTTCAGAGAAAGCAAACTCCATCTTCCGAGGAAATTTCACGTCGGAAGATCTTCTGTTCGGCGGCGTGCCGATCCAGCGGCTCTGTCGGCCCGCTCCACTTCAAAGAGCCTCTCACCGCCCGGGAGGCCGAAAGCGACGATAATAAATCATTATTATTGTTCATTTTTATCATTGATCAGGTTAAAAAAACTTTTGATATCAATACTTTCGTCCGCGCCCATATCATTGACAGCAGATTCACTGATCAGCAGTGAATCGCAATCAACGTGTAGAATAATAATTTCATCAGGTACATATCCGGTAGCACATCGGCCGTCTCGGCGTAAAGGGCTCAGCGGTGCCGCCGCACTGCTGTTCGTGATCGGGCGATTCCCTACGTGCTCATCAAGTCGGCGTTCCCGTTTTGCAGCGGCTCACACTCAGATATGTGTGTTGTTACTGAAGTTATTACTCGTGATCTTAAGAAAGGCGTTCTCTTCTCCTTTCATGCCGTTCGACTCATCAGGCCTGTGGATTCCAGCGAGCGAAGTCGAGCGAATAATCGTCAACGGCGAACTCCCACCCCCTCCGTACGGGCCAGCCATTCCACCCGCTATAGGGCAAGAAAACGTCTACTTTTATTACGGTTACATCAAAAAGGAAAGCAGCGAGAGTCAGGCCGAACGTCTTCGTGAAGACTCGACGGCCTGCCAAGGAGACGAAGCGGCTCAAGGCGATGGTGGCAGCAGTAGCGGCGGCGGCGCTAACGACAGCCGAACTAATGGTGAGTGTCACGATGCGATCGTCTGATGACGATCTATAATTTTATTTGTGAGCTTCCAGACGGTCGAGGCGCGTCGGAGTCATCGCTTATCATTTAATTAACATTGTGTAGTAGAACGAGACACCAGACCGTATCGATCAAACCATTTCCTGGTCTCTCCCCGAGTTTATTCAGAGTAAATCTTGCGAAGAGTTTCCTACGAATCAATGCCGACACCATGTTGTCGAGCTGAAATCACAGAGTCATTTCGATCTGTCCAAAAACGAGCTCCTCTCGCTGACCGAGATCGTTCACGCGCCGAAGGTGTTTTCCCCACTGTAGGTCAAATACAGGAATCCGTCGTCGTCCTTATACTGGGCGTACAGCTCACCCATGCTCATACTGAAAGAGAATTGGATATATTCGCGGATTTGTTTACATTTGCGCATCCCTGTTCGGATCGATCGCCGCACGTGACGTTCGTTCAAGTGTTCATCATCATCACCCCTTCGGTGAGAGGAACGTTGACGGGGCGAAACAGCGGGCAGTGGGTAGGTCTGAGCATCGCCCAGGGAGGGAGGTGAGAACATCTATGAGAAACGGAGCTCCCAAAGGTAATATTGACAGGAAGGCTCAAAGCAAATGTCAAAATGCGAGTCCGAATACCTGGACGGTGGCATGACACGGCCGACGAACAGGAACAATGCCCTCTCAGGGCTGAGAGCGATGCGTCTACGAACGATCCACATGAATTGCGCCACTGCAATATCGTCGGGTACGAGGACTTTCTGTTTGTCAATAGCAGGCACTTGATTAGAGTTGGGTGCTCGCTCCACAATCACCTACTCTGCAGAACTCTTTGTTAGGGAGAGCATCTAACTACGTACAAACAGCTTGCCAGCACGTATTGTTCGGCCCGAGGCCTTTGGTGTCTCCGAGGTACGAAGAACGGGGAACGATCCCAACTTGATTGTCTCAGGATTTTATTGCTTGGGCTGCGAACTTCCCGATTCTCCGCGATTTTCTGGGACTTTCCAACACATTCACTGCTCGGAGCTTTATTCGGAAACAGAGGGGCACCTACTGATTCTTTTCTCAAGAAGTATGCGGAGGGAAGTTGGTCTATTGAGAGATTTTTTTTTGGAACGATCAGTGCACACATCTCCCAGATGCTCCAGGTCGTGCTGATCGTTGACTGATGCTATCAGTCGGGCTATTACCGCTTATCACGGCTGCGATGCAGGATCATCCGCACCGATAAGAGATCGAATGGAAACTAGACCTGTGGGCCAAACAATGACTAAATTCGCAACGGTCTTATCGCTCCATCTCTTACCGGAAGTCGATGAGGATATTTCTCGAGGACGGCTCTCGACTCTTCGATCCGCTGCTCTGGAATATAAGTTCATTCAGAGTTTTCTTCCGCCTGCCGATTGATTGATTAAACCATCCTCTTTCAATTTATCGAGGGTCAATTAAATCATTCGATAAGAGAACATGTCGCCGAGGTGTGACCCGACCGCACCGGCATAATTACTCTCTCCAGGCGTGCGGGAGGTCAATTCAAGTCGAATATGCTAGGCCGACTTCAGTCTTCCATTCCGATAGATCTGAAGGACCACTGCATAACGTTGATCACGGAATCGTTTCAGAAGTCTCGTGCGGCTTCGTGAACTCTCTACTTGGATTCTAAAAATTGAAAATACTCCACTCGAATTTCCACGCCCTGGGTCGGCTAACTTTGGGCTGTTTGGAAGTTATTCGAGCCGCTCTCGGTAGCCATCGAATATCACCGGTCAGCTATTTTTGGATTATCGCCCCATTGAGATTTGATTTTTGAGCGCGCTCCGTTGCTGCTTCTCTGTATTCGATATCTTTGTAACACTACACGAGGTTCTTTGTCTGCGTGGGATTCCGTTCTGTTGATGCGGTGGGTGAATATCTGAGCACAAGAGTTGGAAGCCGCGTGAGAGAGAGCGCTCATGCTCCTCATCACCGACCTCACCTTCGGATTGTTGACTTTTGAATCTGAATTTGATACCGGCATCTCTTGCGTTCTTCCGAAACATTTTGCTTTCTTCCCTGCTTGCTCGATGAACTTCTCACAAAAACACCAAATGGCGAGTGCTCCTTGTCGCGTTGTCCGCTCGCCCTGGAATTCCAACAGGAGGCTGTGCGTCAGAGAACTTCCACAAGTCACAGAGTCCGAACGCTCGAACCGTTACTGGAGCGGATCGTCGGCCAGTCACTAGCTCATCCGCCTGTTTGTCTGTACTGAATGTAGATGGATAGATGGATCTGTACCGTCGAGTGGAAAAAATCAGCTTCTCGCGGACTCGGTATCTTAATCCGCACACTCCTCCCTGGCTGAGGCTTGTCGCTTTGCAAACGGAGCGAGGGCGAACGCATCGCGGCAAACATAGAGCGTCTGCGCGTGCGGAACATTGGTACGACCACATGTGTCTCGGTGCCGGAGTCCAGCAATCGAGAATTTCGGACGTGCTCGTGAATGGCGGTGTAGTGGCGGAAATGTGAAGAACGAAGCCAATCTGTTCGTTCCGGAGACAATTACTCTCTAGATTCATCTTCATTCCGCGCTCCTCCATCGGCTCCCTTTGCGCCAGTCAGACTTAGTTTTGTCCGCGCCCGCTCGAAAATCGTTCAAGTCCGAAATCGTGTCATACCTCGAGTCGGGGGAAACCGAAGACTCCGCCGAGAGAGTACCTCACTCAGCGTCGCTACGTTGGAATAGACGGCTTGAAGGGAGATAATAATAATACAATGAGGGAGGGACCATTGATCGGGTCAAATCCCGGTTACGTGTACATTCGAATCCGCTTGTGAGAGATCCGCTCGGAAAGTGTATGGTCAAAAACAAGAAGAGACCGGATATGAGGGAAACTTCCCCAACTCCCGGATGGGCCACGTTCGACCTGACTTTCGGAATAGAGACGGTCCTGACAGGAGCGCTCTTCGGAGTCTCGGACCGTGAACTCGAACCCAGAGAGAGCCTGAGGCAAAGGAACGCTGACGCGCAGATCCTTCGGCGTCGATTCAGGCCGAAGCGAGTAGATAACGCCGGATGGGATATCGAAGTGGGACGCGTACTTTGCTCCGCGGTCGATTCTGACAGGCCCTCTCGGCTTCCTCGCGACTCCTCCTTTTCACCCACGAATTCTATGTGAGAGCGGAGAAGTTTCTCCAATACAGGAGAGGAACCGCTTGGGGAATATACGCTATGCGGGCAGGGGCTGGAAGCCCGGTTTACGGAGACTTCCGATTGCTCGAAAGTGAGACAGATGAGCATACAATCGACCGACTGCCTCGGATTCCGAATATTCAATTTTCGGAGACGTCCCGAGATAAATTGATGTGGCGAACTATGATCGAGGATAGATGAAGTGCGCGACAGTTACCACTTGCGCCAATGATTATCCCTTTCGGAAGTCATTGTCTGGGACGGCTGATACGCGTCGGCACGTCTCGCCTGAAGATTGATGGATTGGTCAACGAGCGATTGCTGTTTCTGAGATCATAAATTTTTGTTTTCCAATCCGCGACATTCATAGCTCGGAGGAAATTACAATGCCCGATTCTTTCATTTCCGCTCGAAGTCAGGGGCACGAACAGTTTTTGATACAGATGGCGAAAGTATCGACCACACGGCGGAAATGATTTCAATTTGTGTTAAGTGGAACGAGTCATCTCATTAGTCGATATCACGCCGATTGGCATAGGCGCCCGCCTCCGGTAATCATCTGCTTCTGAAACGGCTGAAAAATTACAAAATTACCCAACATGTGCATTTCGGAGCGGAGGCATTTCAGAGCGGCTCTGACCAAGGGAGGAGGCGGGAGAATGCATTCCATCTCACCATTCGGCGGTATGCCGACCGTAGGCAACGATCAGATCGCCGTGCCGGAAGATAACAGACATTGACATATGGGAAAAAATCCGAAATCTCCTTGGACAAATCGGACACTGTGAGTAGCCTCGAGGTCCAAGTCATCGGTTTCATTGCCAAAACCACATGGAAGGAGTCACGGGATATCTCACTCCGCTACTTGACGATTGTGGCGATGATGAGGGCCCGGCAGCTAGAGCTCCGTCGGACGTAAAACTCCGACCGACGGCGCCGCCGATGCTGCGGATCAGAACGCTAACTCCTAAAATTATTATTCTTTCATTTATAGCGCGAAAAAAAACGAAAGTCGTTCCCTAAACGCTCATCCGATGCGTACGAGCAAGAACTTTCTTTTTCATCGGCTCACTAGACGGGGCTGTCAAGATCTTTCACTGAGGGTCTCCGTATAATCTTGATCAAATGGAGGCTTAAATGGGATGTTTGAAAAGAAAAAAAGGAGCTATTATCGGATGGTAAATATGCTGCCGAGTACCGAGCTTTCAACAACGTCACAATCAAATAATGTTACGGCCAACGTCATCCGAGGCGACGAGAATGCAAAATTGAATTTCGTTCGTTTAGAGCTCGGCGCACCTCCGAATGGCGGGCCATGAGACTCCCCGGAGGGATTCGCAAGAGCGGACTCTCGCTCGGAGCTTCAGAAGAGCCGAGCCTCTTTGACGACGGACTATATTCGGGCAGAAGATCAGCCGGGCTTCTACAATAAACAAGCGTAGCCCACTATCGAGACGGCGTGACCTCTTCGTACCTGTGAAGGACAACAAATCGTGCCTCGTACCCTCCCCCAGACGTGCGGGCGAGTGGACAAACAGAGCGACTTTCGAGCTACTCACCTTCGTGCGTGCCCCTCGACATACCCTCCCTCTTGTTGGCGGAGGATCTCTCTCAGGAGTCCTTTCCACGCGCGAAGAGTTTGTTGTGTCCGGACTCCTAGGTTATCCTGGCAAGCGCGCTTTTCCGATCCCGACGGCTGTCGCTGGAGGAGGTGCGCGGAGTTTTCCCGCTTGGTGCTCCGCCGTGAGGTGTGAGTTTTTCCCGTCGTGCTCATAGTTCGCTATTTCTCAAGCTTCGGAAGTGAGTCCTACCGCGAGAACTGTAGTCGGAGACAAGTTCGAACCGTGGGTCTAGCCTGTGGTCGTGGTTCAATTGCTCATCACCGGAAATACTTCCGCTGTCCGGAGCGCTTCGGTAGACATCCGTGTGAATTCTTAAATCGGCCGTGTGGTTTGTATTGGTAAGTTTTCGCGAGCACTTCAAGACCATGGAAAGAATTCGACGGCGCGAGCTCCCGACAAACAACCGCTCGTCGGAGCACTTTTGGCTTCTTCTCTTTTGAATTCTCGCCGATGATCCGATATTTTCTTCTTTTTCTGCCAAGAACAATATGACCGTGCCCAAATATCTCTGTGGTCGTTTCGAGGCGGACGGGGAAAATCATATTGACCGCCGCGAGCTTTCTTGAGGGATCGATGATGCCTCTGGTTTTCCCGCCGCGATCCGGCCAAGTCTCCCCTGATACGTTTTTCCATAGGGAACCGAAAAAGATGGAAAAGCCCGATTATCTAATGGCTGCTAATTCGTTATGTCGTTGCGCGAGAGAAGCGTGCCGAGCATCAGCGGACAAAACGCTCTGAATTGACGGACGAACAGACGGAAGAATGTCATAGAACGATGTCTGATCGTAATTACATGGCTTGCCCGAGCGCCGCGCGGATCGTCGATCGATCGATGGTAGGCTTTCGTTCATGTTTTTCGGAGCTTTCGGAATGACTGCGATCACTCCAGCGCTCACGACGCGATTTGGATGAATAGGAATGCTCCTTGAGAGCGTGGAGAGCTCGATCAGGGTTGTCAATTGCGGTAACAAGATCAACGACGGAAACTAGAGGACCTTCGACCTATTCTTTCTCGGACGAACTTCCGGACTAACAGCTGTCGGAGCGATCACGTCGTAACATCCGACTCGGAGTGCTGCGAGCGAATCCTTCGCCGATCGAACGCACCACCGACAGAAACTCGCAAGCCTCCGAGCGTCCACGCTCTCGACCAAGCGAGACGATGGAACGCCGCGGGGGAGAAGTTGTTGCGGAAATTTTTAAGCTTCATACACTCTTCGACGCGGATCGACTCCATCCAGATCCAGAGCCGTCCGTAGAGCATGCTTGCCAGCACTCAGGAACGTTGAAAAGGGAGACGGGAAAAGACTCGGAAAATCTTCCGAGCTGAACGGCACGGAGGGAGTCTGCCCGACTGGGTGGGAAGTCGGGATCTCTTTTGTACGCAAATGCCTCAGAACACGAATCCAATGGAGCAAATAAGTAGGTGAATCCATTCTGCTCTATTCGATTTCGCGTCTTTTTTCAGCAATTCCTCTCCGTTCGTGCCCATCGGCAGCTCATGCCGACCGACGTAGAGAAGAATGTGACGCGAGACTATTTATTCGGACATAATATACTCCGCCGCCGGCGGAAGCTGGTCCCATTCGGTGCTCATGTACATAGTTCGCTGAAGAGTCAGGGAATTTGATGCCGTGGTGGGTCAACTTCGGTCGAGGTAGGCGTCGATCGTTCGCCCTGTGCAATGGGATTATACACTTCGCTAATAGCTCAGGCACCAGAGGAACAGTGAAACGAGAATTTCGTCTGAACTTTGGGTCCGAATTATCTCTCTATTTTCATGATTGACTTCCGCTAAGCTGATCGAGTCGAGGAACGGGGAGCAATTCTCCTTCTTTCGTCCGAACAGAGCGGCGTAGTGCAACGCTCGTTGAGAGCGTGAGTTACGGGTGCCAGGGCAAAAACCGGACTCCATTAATGCGGAAGTTGGGACTTTCGCGAAAACTCGATTCTGGCAGACATAACTAATAAAAATCCTGTCCAAGTGCCTCAAGTCATTAGACGAAAATAAAGGAAAGCGAACTCAGGTTTAAGCCGGGACGCCGCGCCCACTGAACCACTAGTCACTCCGAAGCTGCTCTAGCGAGAGAACGACGACCGGGCACCGGGTTGGTCGCTTGGCTGATCGGCTGGTGGCTTGTTTGCGCTCGGAGCACCGAGGAACACCTTGCACACGGACCTACACACGCAAACACGCTCGCCAACTCTAATCTTCAAGGCTTCAGCAAGCGGTCTAGATATGTACATATGCATTAGCGATTGGCCGATTCGCCAACGTTGAAACGTTGTCCGAAGGGAGTCGATGTCGAGACGGCTTCAACGAGCCGTCATATTCTTCCCGTAGGGCGAGGGGCTCGGGATTGTTGCAGCTGAATAAACACCCGAATCGAAATAGACCTCGATCGCGGAATTGTTTGCTTGAACGAGGAGGATTCTGATTCCTCGTTCCCCGCGCAACCCGGGACTCGAAACTCTTATAACGTGTTTCCCTCAGACTTCTGGGAGGTGTTTGGATCTCTGAAACCAGTCTGCACGGATTAGATCAAACACCGGCTCCCGTGTTGCCGGGCAGGACGAGCAAAGGACGTGGAATCCACTATTAGAGTCCTAGCTG